GCCTATGGCCTGACTGCGGAGGAACAGTAAGGAAGCTCAGGCCGCTGGGTCGAGGCTCTAGGGAGCGGGAGGCCCAGGGGGCAGGGGAGGGGACGGAACGTGGGTGAGACGTGGGATCCGGATAAGAAGCCGCAGGTGGGTATCGGGTAAGGATCAGGAGAAAAGCAGTAAAAACTGGGGTCCAGGATTTATTGGGGTTCAAAGTCCCGAAGTGAAGGAGTGGGGAGCAAAGTTCCCAGAGTTGGAGGAACTTGGAGGAGACAAAGTCTCTCCAGTGAGAGGTGACTTGGTGCTCCCACCTGAACAGAAGGCTCGCGGGGATCCTGAAGCAGGGCGAAAGGGTGAGGGTGAGGGTTAGGGACAGGGTGAAAGTGATGAAGAGAAGAGAACTGCTCAGGTGCGGCGCTGGGGAGAGTGGGATCCCAGAGGCACTCCACCCAGGACAAGGATGCCCTACGTCCCGTGGGAGTGCAGTGCCGGGAGCAGGGGGCTCGGGGACCAGACCAGTATCGGAGAACCAGAATTGGTCTGGCAAGAATGGGAAGAAGGCGTGCGAGAGGAGCAGGATTTACAGGCTTCGAAGTCTCCACGCCAAGGCGTGGAGAGCCCAGCTGACCACAGCTGAAGGACTGGCTGGGTTGCGGACTGGGCTGCCGGGGGGGACAAAGTCTTCAATTACTGAGACGACAGGGGACTCAAGTTTCCGGAGGGCAGCAAGGCTGGAATGGGGGACGCCGTGGTCAGGCAACGCTGAAGTGGGGGTCCCTGGCATCTGGCCGCATGAGAGTGAAGGAGTCCTCCGGTCTGGGGAGCGCAGGGGACAGCCGCTCTTACCTCGTCCCATTTGATGAACTTACTCCCGCGTCGCAGGGTCTCCACCACGGTGGGCGGCTCCAGCTGCAGCGCGTGGACGCCGGGCCTGGCGCCCGCCATGGCCGAGCCGGGGGCGGCTCGGGGACCCACGGAGCCCCGACGGGAACCGACGGTGCCGCTGCGCTTTCCACACCCTCCCGCGCGGCCCGCTCCGGCCCCGCGGCGTCAGCGCCCGCCCGCCAGCCAGTCTGTCCCGGACCGACCGGAGACTCGGCGCCCGGCCCCGCCCCCGCCCAGCTCCGCCCCGTCGGGCGGTGCCGCCCCCTCCCTCCGCGTCGGGCCCGCCCGGCCCGCGGCGGCGCCCCCTGGCGGTCGGGGCGGCGACTGCATCCAGAGGAAGGATGGAGCAGATTTGGAGGGTCTTTGTTGGCCGGCTCAGTAAGGGCTTTATTTTTCAGGGGTCTTGAGTAAAAGAAGAGAACTTGGGGCCACGGGGCTACTGAGTGTGCACCTGGTAGGACGGGCGTTAGAGCTGCCTAAGATGGGCCAAGGTCAGCCCGTCGAGGGCTCCAAGTGGAAAAGAGGGAGATAATGGGGGGGGGGGGGCGCAGAGCTTTGTACCCCACCTCGCTCCCGCCGCACTTAACTGAGCTCAGGAAACGTCACCCCATCTCTCTCCATCCCACTTCACCGGCTTGCCCTCACTTCCCCTCACCCCCTCCTGCTGCAGCGCAGTCCCCCCCTCCCAGGGAGCACTTAGCTGGCTAATGGGCCTCCCGCCGGCAGGCGCCCCTCCCCCGTCCCTAGCCCTGGAGGCCCGGAGCCTGCCACCTCCTTTGAGGACCCAGGCATGCTGGCTTTCCAGAGAAAACCTTGGCTCTGTTCTTGCGCTGCTGACCCTGTGATGGGAGCTAGTCTCTGTTGAGTCTCCTAGCTGAAAACTGCAAAGTGAAGGATGGTTGTTTGCCCAGCGGGGGCAGAAGCCTCGTGGGTGTCCCCAAAGGAGGGGTTGTGCAGCGCCTGGCCCACAGCAGGTGCCCTGAAATCTGTGTTCCAGCGATCGGAGGAACGGAAGGGGCAGGCGCATGGGCACTGGCAGGGGTGGGGGCTGCAGCCCCTCCTGCAGGGCTTGGCTGGGGGGGCTCCTGCCTGGGGGCCCCTGTGGGAGCCCCCCCAATACGAAGGAGGCAGCAGCAGCAGGTTTAAAGTAGAACTCATCCAGAGGGGCCAGCCAAGTCACCTAGAAACCCAGAAAGAGTCGGAGCTGGCTCTGGGGGAGGAGGGTCAGCCAAGGAGGAGCTTCCCTGCTGGCGCCTTTGCCCCAGGCTCTCAGGCCTCAAGAGGAGCCCAGCCTGGCACTGGCAGTTCTCCAAATCCCCACCAGAATGGCGGCAAACTTAATGAGTCTTGTTGACTCTGGCTGCGGCCTTGTGCAGTGGTGTGATTATTATCTCCATTTGGGGCCCAGAGAGGGGAAGGGACTTGCCCAAGGTCACACAGTTTCCTGAGAGGATTTCAACCCTCATTCTGACTTCCTGCCTCTGCTCCCAGCTCTATTAGAGACAAAGGGGAGGGGTGTGCAGGGCTGTGACCCTCTTCCTCTCTTAAAAGGGCTGTAAAAGGAATACCCCTCCAGTGCTCCAAGGATCATCAACCTCGGAGAACAGAACCATCGGGGTGGAGGTTGGCCTCTGTACCCACAGGCTTGGGTTCAAGTCCAGGACTCACGCTCCCTAGTCGTCAAGCTAGAACATACACCCCCTCTATGAGCTGGGAAAGAAAGCTGTGGGGACGTCGGAGGGGAAGGAGGGAAGAACACGGACGGCGGTGAGCTCTGGCACAGGGGACCCTGTCACCAACACTAAGGTTAGGAGGCCCTGTGCCTTCCGAGGGAGGCCTTCCCAGAAGCTTCTGGAAGCAGGTCCTTGGAAAACAGGATGGAAGCTGCTTGCTGGGCCAGGCCCTCGTCTTCCCCACTGCTAATCTCTTGAGGCCAGGCAGCCCCCATTAGAAGGCTCCTTCCTCCTCCTTGGTCACTTTCTTCCAGCCCTGGAATGGTAATCGTTTCTCGGCAAGCAATAATGGGGGGACGAAGGCAGCCTTTCAGGCCTCTACCCTCGATTAAGGGATTGGTTTCAGCCCACGGGTCCCTCCCCAGGGCCTCTGCTTCAGGGAGGTGCTGGAAGCATCCTTAGCTCACTCGTAGGGTGGGAGGGGGCCGCATCCCCCTGGGAAAGGTGGAGCATGGGAAAAGGAAGCGACTGCGTGAGGCTGGGTGAGGGGCCAGGCTCACCCCAGTCACAGGAGGGCTGGTGGGTGAGCAGAGCCGGACAAAGGCTCCAGAGCCTGAGCTGTGGGTCACACAGAGGTCAGGATCCTCTGGCTCCTGGAAGATTTGCCCACTTCCTGGCAGAGTCAGGACTTGAACCCAACCCCTTGTGCTCCAAGGCTAGGGTTCTGTCCAAGCAGCCCAGGTTCTAAGAAGGCTGCGGGCCAGCATACCCATCTTTCTTCTCACACTGAATGGTCACGGGAAAGGACAAGGCAAACAGAACAGCCAGCCCCACGAAAATGAGGATGCCCTGGGGATGACACAGGAGGTAGCCAGAGGGAAACGCAGGATGAGCATGCCCCTGAAAGGACCTGGCATGTTAACTGAACTGGAGACCTTCACATTAACCACGAAGGTCAAAGGCCAGAAAAGTCAGTGTTCAATATCATCATCTTGGGGGCAGAGGCAGAGCTGAAGGTCTCCAGAGTCACAGGCTCCGCTCTCATAGCAGCCATGGGCATTAGGGGCCATTAAAGTGTCTCTAATCCAGGAGTTCCTTCTAGGTACAGACCAATGCTGGGGTTCAAAACGACGCCTTTGGTGTGGCGAGTGGGGCACGCAGGGAAACAGTACTGGGAAGAGTGACTCGTCTCCCCGTATTTCAGACTACACAGGTATGTCACAGCCGACCCTGCGACAACAGGAGCTAGCCTCCCTGGCCCCACAGGCTAGCTGAAGAGAGGCTGATGTCTGGCAATGGGCTGTGGAGGGAGGGAAGATCAGCTTACTCCAGTGCTTCCCCTACTGAGAACAGGGGGACCTGCCCCAAGCCAGTCTCCTCCTAAGCAGCACCCCCCACACACACACACACACAAACACCACTCCCAATCAATCTGTCTTCCCATTTTACTGTTTATTTGTTTACTTATTTATTGTTTCATGCATCTCAGGCTGGCTTCGAACTCACCAAGTAACAGAGAATACCCTGAACTTCCAATCCCCCTGCCTCCACAACTGTGATTATAATTGTGCACCACCACAAACAATTTATATGGTGCTGGGGATTGAACCCAAAGCATTGTGCATGTTAGGCAGACCCTACACTAAGGGAGCTACCTCCCCAGACTCCTCTCCCTTTATCCCATTTTTACAGGGCTGGGAATCAAACCCATGCCATTGCATATGCTAGGCAAATGTTCAGCCCCTGACCTACATCCCTAGCCTTTGTGGCTTCTCTCCAAAAATAGCATCAAGGGGGCTAGAGAGAGCCTTAGCAGTTAAGAGCACTTGCTCTTGCAGAGGACCCAAATTCAATTCCCAGCACCCATATGGTATCTCACAAACATCTGTAACTCCAGTTCCAGGGAATTCAAAGCTTTCTTTTGACTTCTGCAGCCACAGGGTGGTACACAGGCACCGATTTCAGTTGTGTATTCATAACACACACACACACACACACACACACACACACACACACACACACACACACAGTAGCATAAGAAGCCCAAAGTCCTGAGTTTGAGTTTGGATGCAGTACCATCTGTGCGACCCTGGGCCAAACTTACCCTCTCTGAACTCCACCTGCTGAGAGGCTTTTTTCTTTGTAGCATCCACAGAAAAGATGCCCATAAGGGGCTAGGACCTGCTGTCCCTGTAATCCTGAGACTATTTGGGAGTGAAGAGGGTGAGCCAACCATAGAGACATCCCAGAAAGTGCTATCCAACCTCGCTAGGGGGTATGAAATGAGGTGGGCCTGGGCCAGGGACTAGCAGACTCTACCACAGTGTGTGTGTGTGTGGGGGGGGGGGGCTGTCACACAGCCTTGGCTCAAAATCCCAGGTCCCCCTTTATACAGCCCTATGCCTGTGACTTAACTCTGTGTTGTCACAATTGAAGTTTCCACGGATTTTCCTGTTTAAATAAAGTCCATCATTCTTTTATGGTCATTTGTTTAACCAATACGATGGAGTTGTCTGCCTGAATCTGACAATTTTAGGGGCTGGGGCTCTCTAGGGACTCGATAGTTTCCCAAGACCTGTAGGTTTGTTAAGGAGCAGGCTGTCCCAAGTTTGGGTATTAGCAAACGAAGTCCTCAGCGCTCTCTGCCACCAAAACTCGCTGTCTAGAAGAGAGACAGAGAAATGAATGAATGAGACAATTTAAAGCTTCAGACAGAACGAAAGAAGAAAGTGTGAAGGATAGAGGAGATGCTGGGAAAGCTAACTCGCTGCCCTCACAGCGGAACACGCCTGACTGACCGGGGTGCGGAAACACGCTCGTTTGGGGTCAACTGCTATTATTACCTTTATCATCGTAAGTTTTGGTTCCCCCACATGCTAGCTCTTTGCACCCGAGTTTCCTCCTTTGCACACGTTCAAGCTGCGGGGTGCTTAGGGCCGCGCCCAGCAGAACCCAGCCATCCCGGAGGGGCGCGTCCCAAGCAAGTTTGCGCTTCGCGGCGGGCTCTGCAGCTAGCGGGGAGGGGCAGCGTCGCCGAGCCGTGGACTACATTGCCCACAATGCGCCGCGCGCCGCCATCTCAGCCGGTGGGCGGTGGTCGTCTGGGGTCCTGGCTATTGTAAGCCCGAGGGCTAACTCTACACGCCCCCACCCGGGGCTCCTCCTTGAGGGGCGTGAGACCTGACCAAGTAGGGCGTCCCGGCACCTGGACAGCTCCTGGACGCCTTTGCACGCCCCCATCCCCGGAAGCCCCGTCCACGTGTCGGCCCGCGCGCGGAAGTCCTCTCGCCCCTTGCTGACCAAGGGTCCCGCACGTTCCTCCCCGGATCTGCGCCTACTCCGCCCTATGCCTAGACCGCCGCCTCTGTTTCGGCCTCAGTGACAGAATGAGTCAGGGTCAGGAGAGGGCTGTGGTCCTGGCGGGCGAGCAGATCCAGGCACCAGGCACCTAGAAGTCTGGGTTTGGGGCCAGAGGTTAAACTAAGGGGGCAGCCGACAGACAGCCCCGGACCCCGCAGACTAGATCCTCCCCTATCCCCTTTCAGGAGGCGGGGTTGGGGAGAGGGGGCCTGAAGCCGGGCTGGCCCTTTAAGGGGGTGTGGTCGGGGGGCGGGGGAAGAGAGCAAGACAGAGAAAGCGGCAGCGACGGCGGCGGCTCGGGCGGCGGCCGCGGGGGACAAAGGGCGGGCGGATCGGTGGGGA